TGATTTCTTTCAGGAAATGATCAGTTCTAGTCAGACTTTGTCTTGATTAGAGAGTATCTTGTCATAATTTCTTTGGTTTTATTCGCCTATCAGATAGGAAATTTAATTGCTTTTTGAAATAGCTTTTTAAATAGAAATTGAAGGAAGAAAAAAAGAAAAACATGGATACTCTTATGGAAAAAAGAATGTTCTCATAAACTGGTATTCCTACATGCAATGGCAAAGCAATATGTAGGAGCTGAAAACATGGATTTGGTTGAATAACTTTCAGAAACCAGAAACCTTTTAGTGATTACCTAAAAAGCCTTTGCAGATATTTCAATAGATTAATATAGGATCTCACAGCCAGTATCTGTTGGACTAATGCTGAGCTTCGGGATTTAGTGACCCTGGTTAGACAACATATTTCCTGATGTTTCATTAGCGATCATTCATTTATCAGAAATGTAATTTGAGATGTCAAAACCATGATGGTGGGCGCTCCCAGGGTTTGGAAAGAGATTTTTTTTTCCTATATCCAGATATCTTAAGGAGTAATACATCCTTTTTATAACATCTTTTGAAGTCTTCTTTGGTTTCTTGGAAAGGATTCTAGAAATTGCAATCCCAACCCCTACTGAGCAAGCAGAACACTTCACAAAGATTAAAGATGCCTACTGAAAGTTTTCCTAAAAGAGCTTTCTGGGAAAGCTCTTCTGGAAAAGTAGGAAAATCAGTACATCACTGATCCCACTAGGTCAAGAAAACACTCTGTTTATCTGGATTTTTCTCTTGGATGTTTGAGTATATATGAATTTTCTAATTCAATGTAGACAATAGCTTGAATCACATTACTATACAGATATTCTCACTAATACTCTAATAGTTTTAATATATATGTTAACAGCTTTAATTGTACCAGAATCTCTGGTCTAATAACCATGCAGCTGAAATTTCTATATAAGAACAACAGAACTTCCAAGATGGATTAGGTTAGGGTCATTTAGTCAAGCCATGACCAACTAGATGCTTCTGGGTTGCTCAAGCAGGAGACAACTGGTCTCTCCTGCGACTGGTATTTGGGGAGGGATGCTACTCCAACTTGGATGTAATACTGAGTTTTTAAAATCAGTAATCCTTAAAAGATTTGTCCTCTGAATGTATCTAATCCTCTTTTAAAACTGACCTAGATTTCTGCATTCATACATCTGGTAGCAATGAACTGTACAGCTAATTATGCACTCTGTGAAGAAACCCTTCTTGGTCTGTTGAAATTTACTTCCCATCAGCTTCACTGGATAAAGAATAGAGGAAAAAAATGCCTGTCTTATTTTTTCCATGCTATACATTATTTTATAGATCTTAATCATGTTCTCTTCCAGTAAGTTTTTCCCCAAGGTGATTTTCCGTACATTCTAGAGTATTCTCATAGGGAAGGTATCCTTTTGATTACTGCTTTCTGCATTTTGCAGCTCTAAAATATCCTTATCCAAGTATACTTGCAACAGTCTTCTTACAACTTGAAGTTATCAAAGATGTGCTATTTAGCCCTGAACAATTAAATAGGGTGAACCCATCATAAATTATTATGATCAATTACTGCAAAGGATCTGTGGCATCTATGTCCATAATCATGAGGTAAATCACCTGAAAGACATTTTGCTTCCAAAGATAAAGAATTGCACTTTTTCACATTCCATATACAAATGTCTTTCACGTTAACAACTATATCTTTAGTAGTGGTGATGAAACAATGAACTTCACTTTATCTTAAAGAACTAGACTAGTTTGAAACCAGGTGTTATGCTTAACTCTATTTTCTCCTTGACTTCAGTGTCTGATGCCTGCCAGCTAGAACCAGCTTCAGTCACTAGATAATTTGGAGTTTATGGAAGCATCTGAAGACAGTAAGTAACCTCTTGCTTCTGTTTTCAGAACAGCTCCTTTTTCAGAAGGCTGGAGATAGACTAAATGCATAACATCAAACAATACAGATATAAAATACTGAATATTGTTAAAGACATTCTAATGGAACCTGGTTTGGCATGACATAGTGATAAAATTAATAAAAACCCCTAAACAAATCATTGATCCTTGGTAATTGGATCACATGGTAATAGATTATTGCATCTTTTTTTTAAAAAAGGACATATTTTAATGATTTCTTTTTTCACGAGCTATATTTCATTGAGATTTTTTTCTGCCTTTTTGGCTCTGCATCTGTGACTTGAACAGACAACTTTATGGAAAAGCATCAGACACTGAAGGAAAATCTGATTCTTGGTAATTTGGTTTTTTCATTCCTGACATTAAAAAAAAAGGTAGGGTAGGGTTTGCCAATATTTAACCATAACAAATGTTTTAAAAGAGCAAAGAACTGGGGGGGGGGGGCAGGGAAGGGAGGGGGAGATGCTCTTGCAATATCATTATAAAACAATTGCTAATTATAACCTTATAATGACCCCTAGTGGCAGTATTAGGTGCATTATTACTATAGTCCAACATTATAAGTTTCACATAACTTCACAGTATTTAATGAATTTCCTTTTTGGTACCATTATAGCCAAGTGTTACCATCATTCATAAACCAGCTTTCTCAACTTCATCTTTGTAATGGGTTGTGAGGGGGATTCTTGCATTTTCAACATATGAAAGTGGATTTTCAACATATGAAGGTAACAGCTCATGAGAGAAGCTGCCAAATATCAGCCCTGATTTCTATTCAAGATAAGTTGCTTGTCATCTCAGAGTTAACTTAAATTCAGCTTTATAAACCTGGATGGCTTCCTGGGTTCAGCAGAAAGCGGTATTCCTGTGATTTATCTTGAGGATTGCTCTTTAACCATGAAATGCTTTCTGGTGGGGCACAGTAAATCATGCCTATGTAAGTGCATTTCAAATCTATTGATTACAATAAAACTTACCTTACCTCCTACATAGGTAAAGGAAAGTTAATATGCTTAATGCTGGTTGAAACATAGCTGCATATTCTTATTAATAACAAACCTGTGGGAGTCTAGATGGGAATGAAGCATTAAAGCCTCATGGACCTGGGGATTTCCTTGTCTTACTTCTTTCTTACTTTCTTACAGACAAAGCTGCTGCTGGATGCACAGATCCTGTGTGAAAAGCCAGTAGAAGCTGCAATCAGGGGGCCTTTGAATAGTTTTGTGTTATGCATCAATTGCACCCTTTGAAACTCTTTGTGATGTGTATCAAGTGCCCTTGGAAACATCCAGAAACTTCAATTTGTCAAGAATGCCATATTGTGGGCAATTATGATATGTCTCACTATGCCCACATTACAACTTTCCTCTGTGAGCAATACTGGCACCTAATTTGCTTCTGGTGCAGTTGTTATCTATATAACCCAGCCTGACATAGGAAGGATCAGGATATTTGGAGGACTGCCTTACTCCCATTGTTTCTATCTATCCCATCAGGCTGAGCAGGAGGGGCATGCTCTGTATCCCATCTGTTAGGACTGTCATCTAGCCAGACTCAGGAAGTGTTTTTTTCCATAGCTTTGCCTGCCCTCTGGAATACCTTAATGCCAGAGGTTTGGCTGGCCCCAACTTTGCTCGCTTTTCAGAAAGCCATGAAGAACTGACTGTTTTCCCAAGCATGGGGGCCAGGATAATAATTGAGTCCATACTGCCACTGTATGGTGTTTTGAAGAACCACTTTGTGTTTAGTTGGCTGAGAAATATATTGTTTAATTCATCATATTGATACTGTGTTTTTAATCCATGCTATCTGCTCAGATTCCCACCTGTGAGATGAACAGCCATTTAAAACTACTGAATTAAATAAATGAATAATATATATTTTTAAAAGCTAATACAAAAATCACCTAGAGCATTTCATTGAATACAATTCATCTCAAACTGAGAAAGTAAATTGTCTGTTTTAGAAAGAAAAAAGAAAACAGCTGATCTGGTAACATACAAAATAGGGAAGTCTAAACAAATCTGCTTGTTTTAATGAAGCATCTTCTTGTCCATGGACCAAATTACATACTGTACAAACTTCTTCTGATTTAATAGTTGTTAAATCAGTTGTACATAAACATGCTTCCCCTTCATTCCTGAGAATAGAATCTACTGATACTAAGATGAAATATGGCTTTTACTATCCCCCAAGAATTTCCCTCCATCCTATGAAAGCCATTTCCATCTTTCTAACTCACTTCCAGGTTGCTTCAGAATTTCTTTGGGAAGTCTTTTTGCACTGACTTCTTTGTTGGGAGGTGGCAGGATGCTGACTCCATGGTATGCTTCATCTCCCTGCCCTTCCCTTCCTGCCCACAGTTTCTGGTCTGAAAAAAAAAGGCTCAAGGGAAGACCTCAGGAGGTCTTTCTTGTGGAAATTTACTGAAGGGAAGAAAGCTTGGGAGACTGCAGACTGATGAAGAGATGATTGTGCAAAGAAATCTAGAAGTCATACATTTTGATCACCATATTAATAAGTTAAATATAAGAAATTCGCAATTAATCCAAAGAGGTGAGATAATAATTGATTGTCTAACAAACTGAATGAGAATGAGACACAGAAGAATTTTTTGGCACTGCACCCCAATCTTCCTTCTTTAAGTGTCTCATTTACTTCTGTGAATAGAGCTGCCTATGTATGAGGAAGCATGGCCAGCCACCATGTCCATATTTCCCAGTTGCCCTTTACACACACTATTATGTTAAGGTCACTTGGACACAATCCTTGAAAGCATCAGACATTTCTTTACTGCAAAAAGGATCTATAAAGCTGAAAATGACTTAAAGGGTAGTCATAAACCTATGCTAAAATCAGATCTCCCTGAATGAATTCACTTTCAGCAGATCTGAAATAAACCATCAGAAATCCAGAAAATATCTATCCTTGAGGCATTGCACCAGGCTGTGCCTCGTTGGGATGAATGAAGCTTGCATTAATGAAGTACTGTGAGGATTGAAAGCACTGCTTTTATTTTCACAGTTCATCCTTATTTTGGGCAAGACTGGAGTAGCCACCTCCACAGTTTTGACAGGAAGTTTCTTTACTGGAAGAACAGTCCGCCTCTTCAGCTCAGTTTTGGCGACAGATCAGGAAAAAGTAATATCTGATTTCCTTGACACTTGGCGTTCCTCTTTCTTTTGAGCTTTTGAAAGAATTCTGTTTTAATCCTTCAAAATAATTGACCACAATATAAAATAGCTCTGTCAGCTGGTTTTATGCCTTCCTTCATTCACAGAGCCAATAATTTCTGCCTGCCTTACAAATTAATTGTATTATTTTATCAATCTGAAATTATGACTCTTCTCTGACTTCTCTCTTGACCCTACAAACCTCACTATATTCTGTCTACAAACAATCTACATTCACAATAACTATATCAACCTGCAGGGAGGAGAAGGGCTGCATTCTAGAAAGCCTTAAAACCTAGGTCTTTCCTCAGGATTTAGGGCCAGGGTGTTAATGGAGTTTGATCTGTGTGTATTCTTCATTTGACAGTTCTTTTGGTGGCATGTTTTATTGCTTTATTTTTTCTTTAGTGTCTTTATGTGCTTGTTTGACTTTTATGGTTTGTTAGCTACCCAGAGTTATTTGCTTAAAATGGGCAGTCATGCAAACTAACAAAATAAATAAATAAACATAGTATGTGTGTTGACTAGCATTCTGAAGCTGAATTTAAGACTCACACTGGTAGTCAATTGTGAGCCTTCCTTCCTTCCTTCCTTCCTTCCTTCCTTCCTTCCTTCCTTCCTTCCTTCCTTCCCCCCTCCGTCCCTCCCTCCCTTTCTTTTTTACTTTTTCATGTATTGCTTTTAGGTTAGGTTTGTCTAGCCTGGCTCTTTGCTGATATTTATTTTTGAATTCATTCTCTGGCTACCTTAACAAGAAATAGAGTGAAGCCAATTTCACACTGTAATAACTGACAAGATGGCAATCAGTTTTGGCTGGATAGCAAGGAAAACCTCTAATCATTATTCAAACAATCCTGTAGTTAGAGAATGCATAGTGTCCATCCTGTGAAATATCTCTTTTGCATGAGTAGCTCACCAATTTTCTGATTATTTTTTTTCTTTCTTAAAAGAAGGTTCTTTTTTTCTTCAAAAATATTCTGTAATGAAGCTTACAATAAAGGCAGAGTACTGTACATGATTCTATATTAGGAGAAAAGGGAAAGAAGAATATGGAAACTTTCAGGTTTTGGATGTTGCTTCTTAATCTCAGGTTTAAAACAAGCAAGACAAAATCTTATTTAATCTAATTCTCTGTTGAAAGACTTTAGCTATTTAAGTTCTATAGCACATGATATGTGTCAGCATTCATCTTGAGTATGGTAGAACCTTTATACAGTTTTCACATAAAACAGTAGCTACAATACTGTAACATCATTTTTCTTGCTTTCTATCAATTCTGTGAGTTTTGAATCAGAGAATCAAAGATGCGTCTTGAGCAACTGATGTTCTGAGTTGGTGGGTATGTGCAACAATGTGCTGACTTATTCAGGTGCAGTATTTAGAATCAAACAAGGCAAGAATGCTTTGAATACAATATGGAAACTATTTGTATCTCTTGGCTGGTTTTTAAAGCCCTTTACCAGTGCCTGCTTTAGTAGCCTTACAGATTTAAGAAAATAGCAATAGCAATAGCACTTAGACTTATATACCACTTCACAGTCCTTTACAGCCTCTCTAAGCGGTTTACAGAGTCAGTATATTGCCCCCAACAATCTGGATCCTCATTTTACCCACCTTGGAAGGATGGAAGGCTGAGTCAACTTTGAGCCTCGTGAGATTTGAACTGCCAAATCTGAGTTAAGATGTTTAGATGTGTGCAACAATGCCAAATCTAAACCAGCCTTTGATCCAAATACGGCACACTCTATTAGCTTACATAATATTCTCTATATTGAAGATATTAGTTTGCATGGTTTAGCCATAAGCGTGCTTAAGGTAAATACAAGTATAGGTTAAATTTGTAGTATACTGGTCAAAATGTCCAAAACTAATTGGTATTATCCTTACCTTCCTATGGATCACTGCATGTGCACAGGTATAATTATGGCTGATAAATCTAGTTTACATCAACTCTATCTTATTAAAAAATGTTACATGAAAGGCCTGATTGAAAAGAAAAAAACTATGACATAGTAGAAGTTAATATTCAGGGGTGGGCTACTGGGGGTTCGCAGGGGTTTGGGAGAACCTCCTAGCTAAGATTCTGTGCAGTTCGGAAAACCCCTAAATCCCACTCCTGGCTGGCCCTGCCCACCCTGCCCCGCCCCTTCCAGGAGTCCCCCCATGGCCTATTTTGGATGCAGGTAAGTGCAGGGCAGGCATGGAGGCTTGGGGAGGACAAAAAAACGGCCTACCAGAAGTTTGGGAAGGCAGGAAATGTGCCTGTTTCTAGCCTCCAGAGAGCCCCTGGAGCATGGGGAGGGCTCTGGAGGCTCGAAGAAAGCCCTCCCTGCCATGATACAGGGGGCTGACTAGGCCACGTCCACCATGGGCATGCCTGCCCAGCAACCAGGCAGAGAACCCCTTGCTAAACTTTTTGAAGCCCACCCGTTAATATTTATGAGACCACCTGGCAACAACTCTGTTACAGGTAGTCCTAGCTAACAAAGAGTAATTGGGACTGGGAACTCTGTTGCTAAGCAATGTAGTTCTAAAGTATGACACCATGGGACAACACTGACATATGCCAGCATTGTCTGGGAGTTCCAGACTATTGTTAGGTGAATCCTGTGCCATTGCACCTTTTTCATTGACTTTGTTTCTGGGAAGCCAGCAGTGAAGGTTAAACTTAGACTTAGAATAACTTTATTGTCACTTTGAATGTATACTAATTGGCATGCATTAAAATAAAATTTCATTGCGTACAGCTCTCAAAGGATCACCACTTCCAATATACACTACATAAACATGACTAAATAAATAAATAAATAAATAAAATATGCATATACTCTCATATATTATATGACATGGAGAAACAACACAGTCTAGTTCGGATGTATGCATGTACATGGTGAGAAAAACGAATCTTGCAAGTTTACCAGTTGGATGGCATAGAGAACAAAATTGCTACAGAATCTGGTAGTCCTGCTAAAAATACTTCACAACCTCCTCCCAGAGGGGAGCAACAGAAACAGACCGTGAAGTGGGTGTATCAGGTCTTTAACAATGCTTTGAGCTCTAAGCACATAGCACTTATAAGCAATATCCTGAGTGACAGGAAGTGAGCTTCCTATAATCTTCTTGGCTGCCCTCAACACTCTCTGAATGGACTTTCTCTCTGAGGCACTGCAGTCACCAAACCAAACAGTGGTGCAGTTTGTTAAAATGCTCTCAATTGTGCCTCTGTAAAAAGTGGTCAGGACAGAAGGAGAAAGATTTGCTCTCCTCATCCAACACAGAAAATGCAGACACTGGTTTGCACACTTCCCTAAGGATGACATGTGGAAAGACCAGTTCAGATTGTTAGTTATCTGCACCCCCAGATACTTAATTGTTGCAAATGTGCAACAACTGTGTTGCAAATTTAATCACATGATTGCAGGATTCTGCAATGTCATAATTGCAAGCTGGTTGCCAAGTGTTCAAACTGGGACTCTGTGACTTCATGGTTGATGCAACACCCATACCTATGAGCAACTCTTGTTACCATCCCTCATTCAGCAACATCATAAGTTTGGATACTTGCTGATCAAGTGGCCATCCAGCAAGGATTACTTGTATTTAGAAGAGAAGTAAATGGCAAAGATCATGTATTAGCAAATGAAACAAAAGGAAGAAAATATATTGTATGTCAGTAAAACTAATAGACAGGGGTTTTTTTCTCAATTGCATGGGCTGGACTTGAATACTTGCAGAGAAGTGAAAATATAGGTTTTTTGAAGGAAAGGCAAAATATGTTAGAAAATATGAATTGGTATTGCCTGTGCTGTTAGTGCAAATGAAAGTTAAAATTCGTAGTCTAGTGATTGTTGTACGTTATGCTTGTATGAAGAGTGGAAATGGAAAAACCAAAGATGACTTCTTGGGAAACTGTGCAACTATCTGAATGAATGAGAGCTAGAAAAAATTATTGTGTTAGTTGACATAAATGGATGGATGAATGGAAATGAGATTGGAAAGTATAGACAGGGGAACTGAGACCCTATAAAAAATAAAAATGGTGACTGAAGAGTGTCTACTTAGAAGAAGTCTGTTTCCAAGATGTAATTTAAGTATATTCATATGTGGCAAAGAAATCACTGTGTATTCAAAGCATGATTGATTGATTTTTTTTATGATGAAAATTTAGGAGAATCAGTGAAAGATTATATGTTGTATATTTTACAGTTAGTGAAAGATACAAGAAATTTTGAACGTTGGAGCAACCTTTATTTGGCAAAGGTAAAAAAAAAGAAGAGAAGTAAAAGAAAATAGAATGAAAGTAGAGTGACTGCAAGAATGAATATATGTGTTTTGTATGAAAAACTATTTAGAAAACAAATTTATCTTCCATAGAATGAAAAGATGGACCCAAGAAAAAGGATATGGGAGCTGCTTGGAACAATGAAAAGAATTATGTTGTAGAATCATAGAAGTGTGTGGTGATGGGCTAATGTGAAAAAAGAGAACTGATTGCTGAAAAATTGGGGATGAGAAAAAGATATTGAATAATTTACATCATCGTTATCATCATTTTAGCCATTGTCTATCCACTGCAGGAAAAAGGCCTTTTCTGCATATTTCCAAATAATACAGTTCTTTCCTTTCCCAATTGGGCCCGCAATACTTGCTGATGTTGTCAATCCATCAAGGAAAGGATACACTTAGAAGAGAAAGAAACAAAGGAGAGCTTTTTTAGTGAAACAAAAAAGAGAATAAAGAAGGGTAAACCCTTCTCTCCATTTCTCCTCTGGAAAGGAGAAATGGAATTAAAAATAAAAACAAAATTATTTGGAATTAAATTAAAGTGAAGGGATGCTGGGAGGAACATAGAGAAATTTGTATGATAATATCAGATGGGAATGAAATATAGAAGAAATAAAAGAGGGAGATACCTAATGAACCTTTTGGGCTTGCATAACAGTTTCTGATCAAGTGAAAAAAATAAAGAAGACACATTTAAAAATTGGAAAGAGAATAATACTGTATAGCAAAAGCAGAATACCAGGAAATAATCCAAAACTGTAAGGAGGGTCAGGAAAGCTAGTCCTCAGAATGCATTGAGTCTGGCCACGAATGCCAAAAATAACTAAAAAGATTCTTGGGTGTGTGTGTGGATCAAGAACAAAGTCAAAGAAGTGGTTCTCCACTGTCTGGAGAAGATGGCAAGATGGTAATGGACAACAGGGAATAGGTTGAACTGTTTTGCAAAAGGAAGGGGGAAAAAATCCATCTTGCCAAAGGCTACACTATAAGGATAGAAAGAAAAATCAGGTCAAATAGATAAGGAATTGGTGAGAGAATACTTAGTCTCTTTGAATAAATTGAATAAATATGGCATTGGATTTATATCCCTGATTGTGGTCTCAAAATCTCAGTAACTGTTGTCTTTGAGGAGATTTAGAGAATTGGGAAAGTGGCAGAAGATTGGAGTAGGAATAACATTGTTCCAAAGATAAAGAAATTATTGTTTAACCAGCTTGACATCAGTAAGGGAAAATCCATATTCATATTTTTGTTTCTTATATGGGGCTGCTGGTTTATACATTTTGAAGCTATATATTTTAAAACATCCCAGCCATGATACAAATGTTCAGTACCATCTTTCAAAATAAATGTCTGCTCTACACTGGGCAGATATCAAATGATTTCCATTTCATTTCCATATTTGGTTGATAGTGCCTTGTCACACAATGCATCTCTGTCTCGCTAAGAGTAACATTGTAGGAGTAGGAGTAACCTTGTTCCAAAGATAAAGAAATTATTGTTTAACCAGCTTGACATCAGTAAGGGAAAATCTGGGAAAATCCTAGAAAGATCATCAAAAGGTGGGTTTTCAATCACTTAGAAAGACACAAACGCTCATTAAATATATAAATAAAGCAGATAAATTGTATTGCTTTTTATGATAAAGTTACTTAGTGGACCAAGGCAGCCTGTGAATGCAACGTACTTAGATTTAACTAATGCAGCTGATAAAGTTAGCCTCCTTTGTGATAATATGTAACAACATGGGATGATCCAAATGGACCTATAATTGGTTGAAAAATTATGCTCAAAACATGGTCCTTAATGGATTGGTATGGTATCTACACAGAGGGAGGGAGGGAGGCAATGGGATACCACACGGTTCATAGTACGGGGCCCAGTACTCTTCCACATGTTCATAAATAACTTAGACAAATGGATAGAAGGGATGCTCAACAAATTTGTAGACACCTCACAGATGAGGAGCTTACTAGCACCTCAGAAGACAGGCTGAGGGATAAAGGAACTTGATAGGCTAAAATACTGGACCCCCAAACAACTATATGCAGTTCAATGATGAGAAATTTAAGGTTCTGTATTTACTGAGAACCAGTAGCAATGTGCAGCAAACATATGAGATAATATAATCTTGGGGTGCATTAACAGAGTTGTAGGGTCACGTTCACAGAAAGTGATGGTTCCAGTCTATGCTGCATTAGTCAGATCACACCTGGAATATTGTGTTCTGTTCTAGTTGTCACAATATAAGAACAATAAAGATGCTGAAGGGTCTGGAGGTTAAATCTTATGAAGAAAGTTTAAAGGAACTGGGTTATTTTAAAAAAAGAGAAGGCGAGAGAGGAAATGTGAGAGCAGCTTTCCAATAACTGAAAGGCTGTAAAAGAAAAAAAAGGGTTCTGAAGTTTGTGTTTTTGTTCTTGGCAATTGGAAGATTGTTCTGTTTCCCTGTACAATGAAGAAGGTAACAAGAATAAGTTCAAAAATATAGAGATCAGTTTGTTAAGTGGAAAGAAGGTTGTTAAGTGGAAAGAAGGTTGGAAGAATTCAGATCAAAAGAATATCAAAGGTTGCAATGAAGAAAATTTGTGATTTGAAGGGAAGATTTTTACTCTTCAACAAGTCATTGAGAAATATATGAAAGTGAGAACATCTATATTACATTTGCTGATTTAGATAACAGATACTGTGATAAAGTGAATATACTTGAATTATGGACATGTATAAATATGGAATTGAAG